TAAGCAAGTTTTACGACTTGTTACAGGCGACACTAGGAGTGTACGTTGTTTAAGCAAGTTTTACGACTTGTTACAGGCGACACTAGGAGTGTACGTTGTTTAAGCAAGTTTTACGACTTGTTACAGGCGACACTAGGAGTGTGCATTGTTTTAGCAAGTTTTACGACTTGTTACAGGCGACACTAGGAGTGTGCTTTGTTTTAGCAAGCTTTACGACTTGTTACAGGCGACACTAGGAGTGTGCATTGTTTTAGCAAGTTTTACGACTTATTACAGGCGACACTAGGAGTGTACGCTGTTTAAGCAAGTTTTACGACTTGTTACAGGCGACACTAGGAGTGTACCTTGTTTAAAGGTTTGGTGTAACTTAGTTCAGATTGGTTTGAGGAAAGTTGTTACTTACAGAAGTAGACAGATATGTGTTGTACCTAGTAAAACATAACTATTGTACAGGAATGTTTAATCATGAAGAATATATACATAACTTTATAATTTTCAGACATGGTGTTCCAAGACCACAAACGTTCTGTAAACAAAGTTTGCTTTCACACGATAGAACCTCACATTCTTCTCAGTGGATCTCAGGACGGCACCATGAAATGTTTCGACCTAAGGAAGAAAGAGGCATCTAGCACATTTTATAGGTTGATGCATGTTTCTAATTAATTAAAACCAGTAAAGGAATGTTAAAATATGAATATTATATTGTTCTTGTTTTTTGAAAATTTTCATTGTTCATCACCATAAATATATTTTAGATAAAGAAATGAATGGTAGTGTCATGAATATTATCACAGAAGTGCATTGGACTGCTGATATTCAAATGGTCAAAATAAATATATAAAGATAACTGGTTTATTTTTAGCATTCTTCTGCATATTATGTTATTTTTTGCATTATTTTTAATAACCATTAAGGTATTTTTATGGTTTAAAGAAATCAGTTTACCAGAACTTGTAATGGTTATAAAATGTGATTCAAATTGGTGATTTCAAGTGTACCTTTAACTGAGGTAACAAATTTCAGAATTGTACTGGAAAAGAACAAAAACTGGGTAGAATTACCTCTAAACCTTGATGTTACATACAGTTAGGTTGAACATTAATAGTTGTGTGACTGGCATTTTATAATATATTCATCTTTGCTTTCACTTTTAACTTTACAGAATTCATTATTGACTTTGTTGCTCGTGTATTGTAGAACAAAATTTATAGTACAAATTAGAGTTTTTTTTCTTTTGTTGGATTTGTATGACCATTTGTAATGGAATTTTCTGGTTTTATTCATTTCTTGTTAAGTCTTTCAGAAAGCGTCAGAGATGTAAAGTTTTCTCCACATCATTATTTTCTATTTGCTGCTGTACAAGAAAATGGCAATGTTCAAATCTGGGACATGCGGAGGACTGACCGGTACGAGAAACAGTTTACTGCCCATACTGGTCCGGTCTTTACGTGTGACTGGCATCCCGAGGAAAGGCGATGGCTTGCAACAGGAGGAAGAGACAAAACAATCAAGGTGCTTCCTACAGAACCTATATTATTGTATAATCTTCTCCCCTGCGGAACCCAGATTATCGTGTCCTCTTCTCCCCGCGGAACCCAGATTATCGCGTCCTCTTCTCCCCGCGGAACCCAGATTATCGCGTCCTCTTCTCCCCCGCGGAACCCAGGTTATCGCGCCCTCTTCTCCCCCTCGGAACCCAGGTTATCGCGCCCTCTTCTCCCCCGCGGAACCCAGGTTATCGCGCCCTCTTCTCTTCTATTTGTAAGAAATATTTCTTTCCTGTGTTTTTCTTTCAGTCCAGTCAGGTTTCTGATGTATTTATCATCTCATATCTATCTGTAATTCTTTGTTAATCATCTAGTTACCCACTTGTTATTATGCCGTTCACGACTTCTGGGTTCCACGTGTTGCATCGTGTTGAGTAATTTTTGTGTTTTTGCATGTACTTAACCAGTACATTACCGTAGAACTTAACCAGTACATTAATAACTCTAGATCTGGGACCTAAGCATGAAGCCCATGGTAGAACATTGTATTCAGACCATTGCATCAGTGGCTCGTATTAAATGGCGCCCTCAGCAGAAATTTCACATTGCAAGTTGTTCCTTAGTGATTGATTTTACCATTAACGTCTGGGATATACGACGCCCGTTCGTTCCATTGGCTGCCTTCAATGAGCATAAAGATGTATCCACTGGTAAGTAATAGACCCCCCACAAGGGTGTTTTTTAAAGATCTTCACCCTCAGATTACCTATTTATTTTTTATAGTGGTGGACTCAAAATATTGATTAATTTTATGTTATGCCTGTTACAACATTCAGTGTAAAGCATTGATTAAAAACATTGGGGGAAATTTTTGTACGAGATACAGAAAAAATCCTGGTGGTAATTAGTAGGATTAACTGCAGTATTGGAAGTATTTTTATTGTTGTATTTGAGGTATTGTATTGGAGTTTTTTTTGCTTCTGTTGTATGCGTGTTTGTGTGTGTGTGTATTTATACATGCAGGATATTTAAAAAGTAATTTTCAATGGCAGTGGGAAGGCAACATACACATTGCAGTAACTTGTCCTAAAACACATGAATATGATTTTGAATGATGGTTTTATTTCTACCCCTAGATACCATATAATGTAACTATGATATTATCGTAACAGCCTACTAAATGACCGTGTTCTCCGTCCTTCACAAAATAAATTAGCTACATAGATTTATCTAGTGTGTTTTCAGTAAATATCTAAATGAAGTCATTTGTTCTTGTTTGAGTAAACTCCCTCGTCGATACTTTGGTGCTTATCAAAACAAACCTGTACCATTAAGATATTTTAGCTATTGTTATTTCAAGATTCTACACTGAATTCTTCATTGCAGGTTTTAAGACTTGTTACCAGGTGACGCTAGAAATTACTTAGATGTATGATTGTTGCCATATAGCCCAAAAATTAATTATTGTAGGTTTTTTTTTCTATTGTAAAATCAGCAACAGCTGTAAAATGAACGTGTTATCTGTATTTGCTGCTAACCACTTTTTAAACTTTAAGTATTTTCTATAACTAAAACTGGATACAGTTTACAAGTGTTGTACATTGATGTATTACTTATTTTTATAAAAAGCATGTAATTGAAAAACAAAAAGTAAAAGTCTAAAATATCCAATTACAGTATAATTTTATCTAAGCATATTAGAAAGTAAATAAATTCTGTAGCTAATTTAATTCTTCACCATTTATATTCGTCATATTTGCAGGTTTTGCTTGGCATCATGAACCCCACATTATTTTATCCACAAGTAAAGATTCTACTTTGTATCTTCACGTTTTCAAAGATGCCATTCGACCAGCTGATCATGCTAATCCAATAGGCTTAGACATCAGTTGCTATGGAGACATTTCTTATGCTGCTAGTAATAAAATAGTTAGGAATGGAAGAAGTAGTTTTAAAGGAGAGAGTTACTCTTCAACCAAGTTACCAGTGTTCTTCCGCAAACATCCCAGTGCTAGTGACCAGTTTCGTTCAGCTGTCAGCTCAATTTTTGTGTTTAAAAATGATGGTGATAAGGTAAAATTTTGTTTATGTATGAAGAAAGAAATGTTTATAGAATATATTCGTTTAATTGTAGTACATTTTCATTTTGTATTTAAAAGCTTATAAAGTTTTTTTATAGTTATGACAACATGATAGTATATCTTATTCTGATATCAGCTGGGTACAGAATAATGTTTTTTCACCATGAGGCATTTGAAATTTGTGTAAAACTGCAAACTAGTACAAAATCATAAAATGCTTATCTCAACAACAATTAGATTCAAGTATTTTTTGTTAAATAATAAATAAAAAAAAAAAAAAATAAAAAAAAAAAAATAAATGCTCCTCCAGTAGTCCAGTGGCAAGCTTAATGACTTGTAACGTTAAAATCTAGGTTTCAATATTCATGGTGGTCGCAGCACAAAGAACCCAGTGGTAAGCTTAATGACTTGTATCGTTAAAATCTGGGTTTCAGTATTTATGGTGGTCACTGCACAAATAACCCAGTGGTAAGCTTAATGACTTGTAACGGTAAAATCTGGATTTTGATATTCATGGTGGTCGCAGCACAAATAACTCGGTAAGCTTAATGACTTGTAATGTTAAAATCTTGATTTTGATATTCATGGTGGTCACAGCACAAATAACCCAGTGGTAAGCTTAATGACTTCTAATGTTAAAATCTGGGTATCAATATTCATGGTGGTTGCAGCACAAATAACCCATTGTGTAACTTAGTGCTGAACAACAAACAAAAAATTAATAAAAAATTATTGTTGATAATAACTTATTCATACTTTGTAATGTATAATATTAGCTATGTGTTAAACTTAACAGTACTTTGTATCCTTCGTTTATATTTTATCTTGGTTTGAAACATTTGTAATAAAGATCTGTCTCATTAATCAATAATTTTATTGTCCAGTTTCTCTCAATGACATGGTTCATTGAAAGTGCAAGACGTTACATTTTATCGGGCCGTAGCTTTGCAGAGCTCTGTGAACATAATGCTAGTGTTGCAAGTGACTTACAGCGGCCTCATGTTGCTCAGACTTGGCGAATTTTGAAGCTACTTTATAACGCAGTACCAAATTTAGGAGCAGAACATTCTTGGGGAGTACCCTCTGTTGGATCAATTTCTGAGATGCTGAAAGGAATAGAACGTGATGAAGGTATACAATAAATGTGTTCAAATTTAACATTTTTACTAAATTTATTCAGCTTTAGTGATCAGCCTCTCTAACAATTGTAGAGTTACTTTTAATGAAAGTAACAATTTGTGGATTGACAAATTTAATAGTATTTATACAAAACTCAGTTATTTTTTTTTTTTTAAGAAAAGGTTCTGGTGTCGGGTCTTGTTTTCTCCCACATTAATTAGTATTCATTTACACCTCTGTAGCTCGGTCATTTTGACCAACCCTGTAACCATCAGGTAACCACGAAATTCTACATACTATAACTCTGAATTTACTGAGTGTATGTCCATGAAACTTGGCAAGCTTTTAGGAAACATTACAAGCCTGTTATAGACAATCTGATTTTTTAATTAATTTTTTTACTGAAGATTTTTGTCTGAATTTACAAAACCTTTATTGAGTCAGTCCAGTGCAAGATGATTTTCATGTTAAGAATAAAGGTTATTTTTTTCCATCTTACAGTTTATTTTCATATTTAACTTGCAAAACCTCTAGAAATTCCTAAGTGAATACAAGTTTTTTTTCAGTAAAGCTGCATATTTTATCTGCTATTATATCTACCTTAACACTAACTGTATCTTGTCTTTTTCAAGCTTTTGCATGCATATAATAGAAGTCCGTGTCATACTCTAGGCCTAATTTTGAAAAATAATAGTATAGTCTCAGAAATTATTTTTCTTTTAAATTCAAATATGCAACTTAGAATATACAAAATATTGCCATAGATATAAGATAGAATATTAACTGGTTTTCTAACTATGCTATAAATAGATCAGATAGTTCCCAAACCTGGTCAAGCAGAGTTCTAATACTTGCAAACAATGAATACAATAGTAAATTGCACAAAACTTATTATCTCAACATATCCAGGCATTTACTTAATTGAAGTCTTCTTTTCAATTGGTTAGAAATAGTTTAATAGAAAATGTTAGAAAATTATTGACATTTTTTTTAATGTGCTAGGAGGAGTGTGACATGCGAGTTTCACTTATTTACTATTTTCTCAGTAAAGCAAAAAGCTTAGAGGCTATAAGTTTACGTTTTAGCTTGTGGCTATCTATGGTATGAGTGTGTACTTCCCTGGAAACTTAAGAGTCCGTATAGGGGTGGAAAGAAAATCTAAAACGGGCAATTTGGAGCAAGGAATTGTCGCATGATATGGAGAAGATGATAATTTATGTAAGAAATTAAATTATATATAAAAATAAAATATGAATTATAAACTAAGTTTGATGCCAAGCTTGTCGATATACATTGAAGAAAAAAGTTGTTTAATTAAATTTTGAATGTAACCCTGTAAAAACAAAAAGGTGTGACATGCTCACTTTGACCCACCCATACTGAGAAGGTTAAGTAGTTAATTTTGAGTTGCTAGATTTATCGATTTAAATCTAATTAGGTAACTTAGAAAGATGATTTAAATATAATACATATTTAAAAAAGTGACATTCTGCCTAATAAACCTGTCTAAATATTTTCCAAGGCACTCGTGTTACACTTTTCTTACATGTGATGAGGTAGAGCTGTAAAAATACCTTCATTCATCAAAAACATACAGTTGGTTGTTATTTATGTGAATACATATACAGAAGTAAAGAATACAATAGACCTGCCTTCCGTAAAAATTAGTTTTACCATGTTCCATTATAATTTATTTTTTATCAGTGACAGGTCTATTTCTGAAGTGCCGTATACAAGACATTTTCTTAACCCCTGAAAACTGAAAGTTTCTTACAAGTCTTTAACAATTTCTATAATTCATTTTTTCCTTAATACACCAGCTATTAACAATTAAGAAGGTCAATAATAAATGAATATTGAATCATACTAGTGAATCGAAAGTACTCTACATTAACTTGGCTTGTGGAATATTAGCATTATTTTTGTTTTTAGATGTGATAGTGAAACTTTTCAATGGAGATATAAGCACAACTTTATCAAAAGAACATCATTATCAAATTTATTTATTATGAAACGTAATTATTTTTGACAGCTTTCGATAACTCGCAAGAGGGCAGTAAATCTAGCCGACATAACAGTGGAAACACGTTCAAAAATCGACACCAAAGTGGAAGCAAACAATCTAGTCGTCACGTCAGTGGTGGCACTGGAAACGGAGTTGCCACAACCGATCGTCCCGATACATCGGGTGCAACTGATAATAGTACAGATAGTGAAGAAAGTGATAATGACAAAACTATTACAAACATAGCCAGTGGGCTAGGTAACACTCAGGGTGACTTCTTCTTCGGTGATGGAGAGACAGATCAGCTTATGGGGTTTCAGTGTACGTTGAGTCAGGCTCCAACGATCGACTCCGCGCAAGATTGGAATCTTCCTGGAGAAGCCTTCCAACCTCGTCATCCTATCAAAGACTGCTCACCTCCCCCTGAACTGGACAATGCTCCAAGTTCACCTACAAGTTTTGATGAGGATTACATAGAAACCAAGAGTATGGTTGGGATTAATGGAGAAGTATATGATTATACTAAACTTCTAATGACCCCTGAAGTTCCAAGTTCACCAGCTTGGGTATTCAACGACGTTATTGTTGACATGCTTCACTACTTTGCTGCCCAGGTATATTATGGTGTTTGCATTTTTGTTTCCACTAACACTTTCGGTACAAAGTTGGTCAATACGACCCACATTGTAACCATTAAACTATGTACTATAACTGAGTATACTAAGTTTATCTTAATGAAACTTGGCAAGCTTTTAGTAAACATTAGCAGTCTGCTGCACACAAATCAGATTTTTTTTAATAAAATATTTTTACTGAAGCTTTGTCTGTGAATTTACAAAGCCTTTACTGAGTCACTTTGAGTGAAAGGTGATTATCATGTTAAGAATAAAAAAAGTACTTGTTTTTAACCATACAATTTTCATATTTCTTTTGCTTAACCCCCTTGAGCCTCCTAAATTAATATTAAAAGTTTTTATGGTAAAACCCTATCTTTCATCTCTTATTTTCTCTGGTCTAACACTAACTGTAGTAAAATCATTAATGTAGAGTAAAATGAAGTTATAAAATATGAAATACAATTAATAATGCCTCGTTTCTTCTTTGAATGTATCATTTGATGTTAGATCTTCAGTTTAATTATTATCACATTTCAACTGTTAACGTTTTCACATTTGTTTTCTTTTTAATTTTATGCTCTTATTTTTTTAATTACCAAATAGTTTTTATTTATTTCCTGTTTTTAAAGGGTGATGTCCAGATGTGTGTGTCAGTCCTCCTGGTGTTAGGAGAAAGATTTAAAGGGTTTGTTGATGAAACTACTCAGGAACAATGGTTTCACTCATACATAGGTATTATGAACATTTTCCTATTGAACTAAGATAGTAAATAATAGATCAGAATATCTGTTTGGAAAGAAAATGCTAATCTCTTTCTTATCCTGAAAATTCTTTTGTTGTGCATCTTATATTTGTAAGTATGAAAATTTTCCAAACTAACGTGTTTTATAGGTATGATTTTACCATAACCTAAGCAGTGTTTCTCAAGCTGGGGGACATGCCCCTCCAAGTAAGGAATGTATTCTGGGGGGTTATAAGAAAGTTCATGAACCCTTTCTATTAATATGTAAACAGTATCTCTCAACACATTTACATTAAATGTGTACTTACATTTTTCTCTGTCTGAATCTAAATATTTAATGATAATGCCTTATTGGACTTTTTTACAATAAGTGTTAAATGTTTTTCTCTGGGTGGGGTAGACATTAAGTACCACAGAAAAGGGGAGGAGTACTGTCTTAAAAGTTTGTGAACTATTGACCTAAGGTATTATGTACTAACACGAGCATTAGCTTTGTTGTTATGCGCAATTTTAAAGATAAAATCCAGTTTTAACTTAGACTCTTTCAGAACCATTTTTATTTATTTTGATTTTTTTTTAGTTATATTTAGAAGATTTAAAAAAAAATGGAATTTGATGCACATTTGAGAGAGAGGATCAAGAAACCAAGTTTCTTTGATTTTTTTCATATTTGGATTCAGTGTGAGACAAGAATTAAATGTTTTTTTTACGTGTTGATGGATTGAAAGAAGTTTTCTGTTGTATGCTTAAAGTTCCATCTAGTGGCTTTAATGATAACTATCTTAGCATGAACAGTACAAGATGATGCTTGTTTTTTTTATGACGAAGAAATGAACAGACTTGTCTTAATTGTTACTGACGTACTACGTTGTAAACCTTGCTCCTTCTCAAATTTTATTCCATTTAATTTGAACACAATTTTAAATAACCAATTTATTGTTACAATAAAAAAGATGTGTACTTACAGCATCAATTTGCATATAGAGCTATTGTATAACTCTGAGTAGGCTTTTCAACAAAATTGGTGCAAAAATGTAATAAAGGCTTTTTTGGAAAAAATTGGAGAGAATGTAAGCTTTGTGAATTAAAATCCTAAACCTTTCAAGTTAAAGGTTTTTTGAGTACATGCATCAGGAGGGAGTGGGGATTGAATGTCACTTCAAACCTCCATAGTTAAAAACATTAGTAAAGTTTCAATATACTTAAATTGTATTTTTCATATATAGACAAAACAGGATCTGTAGTAAAAGTCATAATTAAAGAATGCTTGGACAGTATTAATCTCAAGAAACTGGAACCCTTGGTGTTAACGCTTAAAGTCAAGGCATTTCAGATAAACAGCAGTTTTTTTCACAGTCCGTGGAAGCGACAACTCGTTGTGGGAAATGTCATGGCTTCAAGTGATGTTTTCAGTAAAGTCTTAATAAATTATTCCAATAATTTTTAACTTTTTTGTAATGCCTCGTTTGTTTTTTTAACTAATGTATTTGCAGCTGTTCACACAAGTTGGTACTGAACGTCAATTAATTCTTTTTAACGAGTTTACCGTAACTTGTTAATACATATTTTAAATGTTTAGCACTATCTGTTGTTTGAAATGATTGTGTGGCATTTAACCCATCAGTGTTGTGATTGTTTCTCCCGAGAGATCGAGGATGTACCGATGTTTAGTGCTTTGTGGCAGAGGTGCACAACATACGGCCAGTTCATTTTGTATGGTCTGCAAGGTTGAAAATTTTTCATCTTTTTTTAAAATTTGATTGGAATATATTTGTCTTATTACATCTAAGAGTTTCTGCATCACAGTTTAATAGAAATTTTGTTAAATCGTCTTTAGAGTTAGTAGAAAATACAAAGGGCTCAAAAATGTTTTGGAGGAAGAAATATTATGGCCTGCCAAGTCTCGATCACATTCCAATTTAGTTTGAACTAAAAATTCAGTTGTGCACTCCTGCTTTATGGGTATCATAATATACAAACGTGATTTATGAGTTTCCAATTCTTTCTTTAAAGTACATTCTTAATAACTCAGTGTCAGCTGAGAAAACGGAAACCATGGCGAGACCATCGGAGATACATATGAAGTTATCCTGTCAGTAGGAATATAACGTAGTTGAAATTATCACACTTTTGTTTGAAGTGATATTAAAGTAAGGAATCTTGTAGCATGTTGTAACTTGTTTTGATAACTCAGTGTGAAAATAAGTACATGGGGTTTGAAATTAATGCTTCTGTTTTTGACTTGCAGTAATTCCTGAAAGTAATACATCTAGCAAAAAATATGTCCAGTACACATTTTAGTATTTAGCCAGTGTTGTAAACTAATTGAAGTTATGAAAAATGGTGCATAGTTCATTTTGGTACACGTAGACCTATATAGGCCCACATAACTAGTATTGTCTATACGGGTGTATGTACAACCCAGATGACTGGTTTTTTTTGTCTATACGGGTGTATGTACAACCCAGATGATTAGTTTTTTTTGTCTATACGGGTGTATGTACAACCCAGATGACTTAGTTTTTTTTGTCTATACGGGTGTATGTACAACCCAGATGATTAGTTTTTTTTGTCTATACGGGTGTATGTACAACCCAGATGACTTAGTTTTTTGTTTTTTTGTCTATACGGGTGTATGTACAACCCAGATGATTAGTGTTTTTTTTTGTCTATACGGGTGTATGTACAACCCAGATGATTAGT